CTGCTTGGTAGTCTCAACTTCAGATGGCTTGCGAACGGTGTAAGCTTCACTGTGGTCCACTTGCTTAATGAAATGCAATTGCGTGCTTTGAGTTACCTTGCAACTCGTGGGGTCTGGGCGTTTCGAGCAGTTGCGCTTGCGCGCTCAGCTTCGCGGGCAGACGCGGCGCGCTGAAGTCGAAGTCAAGGGCGCCCCACTTGGGGCCCCATCCAAAATACCTCAGGCCCTTCTCCATACCTAGGCCCCCCCCCACTGCCCGCCACTAGAAATGCTCGGGGGTGCCCAGGCCCACTCTTGCAGCCTAATTGCAAAACGCAGACGTGACTGCGTCTGCTTTTTGTTGATTGAACTCTTGCGCCTGCACGGCGCGTGCGCCGGGGGCCTTCGCGCAAACTTGCCCCGGATATGCTGGGGGCCAGCTGCGCTGCCATATAGAACTGCTCACAATATATCACGGCCCAAGAACATATTGGGGGGCTCTCCGCGGGGGGCGCCACAACTCTCGATGTCGGCGCATGCCCGCGCAGAACTACGCGCGCAATCCCGCGACTGTCGCCGGGGAAGAGTACTTGTTTCGCTGAAGTAAACTGCTAGCTCGTTGCTCATGAACTCGGATGGGAAGGGGGGGGGGGGGCGGGGCAGATCACCTCGCGATGCGTTCGAAAGTGGGCGCCCGACGCGCGCGCGCACGCAGACACGCGCACGGCAAGAACGAATAGTTTGAGAACTAAAAGTTCGAGTGGAGATCGCGGTGACGCGGGGCCCTTACTTGAGACATGTGAATCCTACTCATCGTATGGTATGTGCGTGCGTGCCTCTTCGCGTAGCTAACATTGCCCGACGTCCCATGCCTGTTCTCTCGTTCTCCCTCTTTCTCCCCCTGTGTCTGCGTCGATGTCGGTTGCGAGCCCTAGGGCGCGCATGTATATTTAATTGGTTCGCAGCATCGCCCCTCGCCCCCAACCTTCGCCCATTGCGCTGGGCAATGAACACCACGTGGCACATCTTGTATCCAGAGCCTGGCAGCGCGTCGCGCCCCATCCGGCACTTCAGAGGACACGTGGCAGCAAAATGCATGAGAGACCTACGACGTGCGGAACATCATCCTGGGCTCCAAGGGTCATAATGCGCGGGACATCGCAGTGCATTCCCTTGCGCGCGCGTGCTGTATCAACCACTACCAGAAAGGATTCGAAAGCCTGTGAACTGTTTGTTACGGCCCCTCTTGTATGCGAGGGAACACGTCCCGATCATGTTGTGAAAGTATGGCCAAGTGCATCCGTGCACCTGACTGGTTGTCGCGTTCAATCTACATGGCGGCACAGCAATCGCAATTGCCCAAGCGGCAAAGGCAGCATAGACGGCATGCGAACTCCTGATGCCGCCACTTTCCTCAACTTAGCAACCACCACCAGCACGCGATGTGGATTCAATGCCTCTCATACCTCATGTTGACTGCCAGGGGCCTTGAGATAGACATGCCAGTATGCTTATGTCGTAAAATGCTTGCCAAAAGCAGGTTTGCGATCGCTACTGACACTGCGAGCCTCTCGGGAACGTACCCGTACAGTGGCGAGGACAACTAGACAATATAATTGGGTGCCCGAAGCCACGCTATTCTTTCATGTTCCTTCATCATTGTGGTTTCCTTCTTGCTTACTGATAGCGCCCCACGCCACTCTGCAAATACAGCATACGCTTCCTGCCACCTGACTTGAACACAATCGGATCAATACGTCCTTCACATCAACTCGGCAAAAGTAGTTCGCAAATCAGCAAGAATATTCAGAAACACCTGTAATGAAAAAGCCCATGTTACGGTCATTGTGTAGCGACGGCCAGCATTACATGGAAGGGGCGTAAAAACTACCCAGCCTTGCACATTTTGGCTCAAGCCGTTTTGGCTCAAGCAGCCAAGCAGGGAGCATTAAAGCAGAGTGCCGTAGCAATGAGTAATGGATTCCATTGGGAAAGCGGAAGCCCGGATGCTGGAAACCAACGAGAGGTTGGGAGAGAAGCGCCCTGATTGTGCCACTTCCTTGGGCAGCCTGGTCATTCTGTATAAGAAAACAAATTCATTCGAGAAGGCGGAACCCTTGTACCTGGAAACCGATGCCATATGTGCAGTGCTGGTAAAGAAGCATCATGGTAATGCCGCTGCCGCCGTTTCCTTGGACAACCTGGCCATGCTGTGATAATTTGGGTTCCTTCGACAAGGCGGAGTCCTTGCACGTGGAAGCCAAAGCCATAGGTTCACAGGCGCTGGGAGACAAGCGTCCTGATTATATCGGTTCCTTGAACAACCTGACAATTCTGTATGCGTATATGGGTTCCTTCGACAAGACGGAGCCCTTTGTACCGGGAAACCAACACCATGCGTGCATAGGTGCTGGGAGACATTCCCCTGAACAACCTGGCAAGCCTGTATGATATGTTGGAATTTCTTTTCCGAGAAGGCAGGACCCTTGCACCTGGAAGCCAAACCCATATGTGCTGAGGTGCTGGGAGAGAAGCGTCCTGACTATGCCAGATCCTTGAACAACCTGGCAGTGCTGTATGAAAAATGGTTCCTTCGCTGCAAGGCGGAATCCTTGTATCTTGAAGCCAAAGCAATACGTGCAGAGGTGCTGGGAGACAAGCGTCCTGACTATGCCAATTCCTTGAACAACCTGGCAAACCTGTGTGATAATTTAGGTTCCTGCGAAGAGGCGGACCCCTTGCCCCTGGAAGCCAGAGCCATACGTGCAGAGGTGCTGGGAGACAAGCATCCTGGACATGCCACTTCCTTGAACAACCTGGCAAACTATGATAATTTGGGCTCCTTCGACAAGGCGGAGCCTTTGCACCTGGAAGCCAAAGCCATACGTGCATAGGTGCTGGGAAACAAGCATCCTGATGATGCCGCTTCCTTAGAAACAACCTGGCAATTCTGTACCATAATATGGGTTCTGTCGAGAAGGCGGAACCCTTGCACCTGGAAGCCAAAGCCATGCGCACAGAGGTGCTGGGAGAGAAACATCCTGATTATGCCACTTCCTTGAACAAGCTGACAGCTGAGAGGGCGGACCCCTTTGTCTCAGCAACTTTAGCAATGCAATGGCAGCATTAGCGGAAGAAGTGATGCAGCGAAGAAGGTGCGAGTGGGGTCCTGTGTTCCACTTCACTCATTCTGGCGTAACTGCTTCTTGCGTCCGCGGGTGCAGTGTGACTGAGAACAAGACTGCTAACCACCAACCTCTCTCTCTCTGTTCCGCGAGGTGTCTCTGCAGTCCGGCTCCATGTGGTACCATGTTGAGACAAGACTGTCCCAACCAGAAATGTATGTCACAAACATGTCGTGCAAACCTTGACCGCAATATTTTCTAGAACCGTATTTGGTCAAGGGCCCCCCAAGCGGGGTCCGAGCAGATGGGGTCGGAGGATCGCGTCGCATCGCCGACGCATCCGCGCAACGCCAGCGTCGCGAGAATTGGGGCTACACATCGGGCGACGCCAGCGGCGCCTCGGCGACGGGGCGCGATCCTCTGACCGACCCATCTGCCTCGACCTCAGTCGGGCGGCCCCGAACAAGGGGGTGAGGGGAGGGGGGGGGGCTTCTTCCTGCCATCGCTTGGACGTCCATTCCCTGTGTTTTTTTTAGGTTTCGTGCGTGGCTTTTTCGCCAAATGATCAAGGATGCTCCTCGATGGTCCGCGACGAAGGAAACATGCACACGTCCGAGCGATGCCAAGTCTTAGAAGGAGGCTGCTTCTCAGAAGGCGCCATTCTTACATCTGTAGGTAAGGCCCGCGCCTTCTGGGAAGCAGGGGTGCTTCTAAGAAGCCCTCTCCTCTCCCCCCACCCCCCTCTGTGCGGGGCTTAATGTAGGCGGGGCGGGACGCCCCGCCACTCCTGGAACCCCTCGCGCGAGAGCCGCGGGCCCGCCCGCTCCGCGGGTGGACAACAGGGCTTAGGTCGGGCGTGTCCCCCTACAGGGGGATTTTCGACGAAAAAAATAAAAAATACCCCCAAATGCTCCAAAAAGTCAACAAAAAATACTCAAAAAATAGTCCCCCGACTATTTTTTGGACTACTTTGATTAGATTAGGGTATTTTTTATTTTTCGTCAAAAATCCTCCTGTAGGGGGACAGGCCCGACCTAAAACAAGGCACATCTGGAGAAACCAACAGGCACCAATACTGCTACTCTCCGGACCTCTCCCGGAGTGCGTTGTAAGCAGAATGTCGAAGCGAGTGCAGCGGTGGCGACGAAAGGGCCTCCCAGGAGGCCCACAAAAAGGGAAGACGAGGGAGGGAGGGGTAGGGGTATGGGTGGCCTTTCCTCATCTGAGCCGCGGGTTGACCACAGGACACATCAGTTGTCTTCTCGTTCTTGCCCTTATCCGTCCTTCAGCGACTGAGGACAGCGATGTGCACAGTGCGTTGTCATCCAGAACGAAGAACGAAAAAAAGCCGAATGTGTAAACCCAATCAGAACCACAGGACAGCAGCGAAAAACTGATAAAAAAACACAAAACGATGCCAAAACTCATGATGAACAACTTGTGTTCGGTCCCTGTCGCCTCTCTCTTCTTTTGAACAAGGCTGTTCCACCCCCGCCTCCACCACGAAGGGCGAATAACTTCGCGCCTCTCACTGCGCGAAACGAACGAAACCATTCGCGCTCTCGCGCCGCCTCCCGGAAAAAAAGGAGGAGAACGAAGGGGAGTCGGAGCCGAACTGCGGGCAGTAGTTATATCCACATCCCGTGCGTCTTGGAGTCTTGGGCTCCAAGAAGCCGTAGACGCACTGGATATGAATAAAATCTGGCCCCAAGAGGCTTACTTTTATCCATATCCAGTGCGCCTCGACGTTGCGGCACCTCTTCCCGAAAAGTCCAAGACGCTCTGGATATGGATACAAGCACTGCCCGCACGAACCTCGACGCGCGAGTAACTTCGCGCCCTCTTGGGCGCCCCTGCTCCAAGTCCTCGTCGTCGTCGTCCTAACCGCCCCCGCTCCTGGCACGCGGCGTAGGCCCTCAGGCCCAGCGCGTAGGCCGCCTGCAGGCGCGGCTTCTCCGACAGCGGCTGGGACGAC